TATATATATATATATTATATTATAAAGCATTTGATAAAAACTCTTAAAAACCATTTTTTATGCATGAAATATTGTTTATTGATGGAGATTAGTTAAAATTCAAGATTTACAAATAAATTTTGTGTAAGTGCAACTTATTAAAGTTTCATGTTTGAATTCGTGTAAATAATTGCAGATAAATATAATCAAGTACAAGATAAACATTTCATTTTAAATATAAAGAATCTAAAATATAATTAGAATAATCATTGAGTTTTAATAGAATACTTAATTATTGTTATTTAAAAAAATTATATTATTAAATCAAGAATAAATTACTTTGTTATTATATCTAAATTAAAGTATAATAAAAAAAATTCAATTAAAGAAATTACACAAAAAACAAGAACTTTTAAATAGTTAATTTGATATTAATATTGATATATTTATTTTCCAAATTTTATGATATCTTCAAATTAATATTTTATTCAAAAATAAAAATATTATCCATTTCTCAAAACCATATTATAACATCTATAGAAACGGAATAAAATGAAACATTAAAATCGAGATATATCTCGTTACATTGCGTGAGTACCCTTCTACTATATATAATATGGGCATGTTTAACGAGAAGTTAAACATTTTGCAAGAAGACAAGAAGTGTGATATCATATATGCTTACACAACCTTTATGTGTGTTTAGTCATATATGCTTACACAACCTTTAGATGTGTTTAGTCATATATGATTAAATGTTTGTGTATTGTCAATGTAACATGTGTTTAATCATATATAATTAAGCTTGTGTATCATATATGATATTATATTCTCACGTTCTCGTAAAATATTTAACTTCTCACATATTCTTTTCTCTCTCTCTCTCTATATATATATATGTGTGTGTGTGAGAGAGAGAAAGAGAAATTTAAAGCAATTTCTAGTTTGAAACGTATTATAAAACGTTACATTTCTTGTTCTAAAAAACTCTTTTTCAAAATGATTTATTAACAAAATAATATTTTTATTAACTTATTGGTCTAGTCATATATATTATACTTTTTTAATATAATAGAAGTCTTATTCAGTAATCTGTTTATTCGTTTTTCACCATTTTTCAAACTACTCGGTAACAAAACCTACAAGATTAGGTTTAACCGATTTCGAGTTATTCGGTCTTTCGAGGACGTTAATTATGGACATTATCATCTTTATTATATTAATTTTAGAAAACAAATTTCATTAAAATGAGAAATAAATGAAACAAATTTTTTTTTTAACATAGAAACAAAAATGAAACAATTTAATTAAGAAAATAATTATATTAAACAATTTAATCAGATTAAACAATGTTATGAAACAATGTTCTTATTAAACAATGATAAGATAACCTCATTTTCTCGCATCAAGCAGATGCAATAACACATCTCTTCGCATCCATCACATGAGATAAACACCCCTTGTCGCATCAAGCAGATGCGATAAACACCTTTGTTGCACCATATGGATACTATAAACACAACTTATCGCACCATAAAGATGGAATAAACCAACTCCTCGCACCACAATGATGCATTAATCTCTTTTGTCGCATCACATTTGATGCGATCCCCAACTTATTGCATCATATAGATGCGATAACACAAACTCATCGCATCATATTGATGCGATAACAACAGTTCATGTGATCAAAATATCATTTTTACAAACAATTGATTATACCACCCTTATCCCAGTATATGTCTATTCTAATTATACCACCTTTATCCCAAAACACACTTCTTTTGATTATGTAACACTTATCCTAAAATACACATCTCCTGATTATGTCACCCTTATTCCAATCAGTTGGTAATAACATATCAAAACCCAAACTCATGTTAAAAATAACATATAATCAATTTTAGAACACCCATGTATAAAAACAGGAAACCGTATGGTTTCTTCACCAAAAGCAAATCAAGTGATGCTTTTTTAAAAATAAAACTCACCTTGTAAATAGTTAGATTGAAGTCCTTAAACACCAATCAAATAATCAGATAATCAAGTATGAACTTTCTCTTTTTATTTTATCTCTTCCAAAGGCAATCAAAGAAATAAAGAATATTATATATATATATATATATATATATATAGGAGCGATCAAATGAAAAYCATCTTCATTTGTAAAAACCGTATAAACCACTCTCATACGTCGATTTTATTGTTTAATCTTATGAAATTTTTTCATGAAATTGTTTAATCTTGTGAAATTGTTTCATATAATACTTTTTTTGATGAATTTGTTTCATATATAATTATGAAATTGTTTCATATAACATTTAATAAAATTTTAATGAAACTGTTTCATGTATTTCTCTAAAATTAAAATAATAAAGATAATAATATCCATGATTAACACCCTCCACAATAAAAATGGTTAATCAATTTGTAAAAACCGGAAAAACCTCATTCCACCAATCATAATTTTTCATTTTGTTCATTTTTTTGTAATTATGAGAGGTTGATTAATCATTTTTATTGTGGAGGATGTTAATCATGGATATTATCATCTTCATTATTTTAATTTTAGAGAAATACATAGAACAGTTTCATTAATATTTCATTAAGTAGTATATGAAACAATTTCATAACCATATATGAAACAACTTCATCAAAAAAAGTATTATATGAAACAATTTCACAAGATTAAACAATTTCATGAAAAAATTTCATAAAATTAAACAATGAAATCGACGGATGATGGTGGTTTGCAAGGTTTTTACAAATTGGAGTGGTTTTCATTTGATCGCTCCCCTATATATATATATATATATATATATATATATATATATTTATTTAATGAAAGAGGCGGTCGAGAATTTAAGATATTTAAAAACATTTTTAAAATACATCCCTCAACTTTCAACATTTTATACAATACACCCCAAACTTTCAATTCAAATAACCCGATTATCACATTATTTTCCCTTCAAAAGAATTTTTGCACAGTATTCATTCAATTTGAACAATTGAGGATATTTCTTCCTTATTTCAGATTCCAATTCTCATGTACCCTTTTGCCCCTTATGAAATCACCACTACACTTTCAATAGACTAATCTCTTTATTTCTCAACACTTTAGTCTTCCGGTCAGTGACGGCTTCTGGAGTTTCCACGAAACTCAAATTTTCATCAACCTGTATTTCATGTAACAATACGGTCATATACGGATCAGCCAAACACTTTCGCAAATTATAAACATGGAAATTGTTATATGAATAACGTTGAGTTCTTCTGACAACTCTAGCTGATACGCTACTTCACCAACCCGTTTATTGACTATGAACGGCCCAATGTACCTCAGACTCAGTTTACCCTTTTTTCTGAAGCGTACAATCCCTTTCCAAGGTGAAACTTTTAGCATCGCATAATCTCCCACCTGAAACTCAATCGGCTTACGACGCTTATTGGTTAACTCTTTTGTCGGTCCCGAGCAGTCTTTATTCTTTCTCAAACTCGATCTATCTTTTAGGTTGTTAATTGAACAATCTCTGGACTGGCCAACTGTTTCTCCCCCATTTCATTCCAATATAACGATGTTTGACATTTTATGTCGTATAAAACTTCATAAGGTGCCGCTTGAATGCTGGAATGATAACTGTTGTTGTAGGCAAATTCGATCAATGGTATATGATTTTTCCATGAACCCCCAAAGTCAATAATGCAAGATCGTAACATATATTTAAGGGTTTGTATTGTTTGCTCACTTTTCCTGTCAGTCTGTGGGTGATATGCCGTACTTAACCGAATTTGGGATCTCATTGCTTCCTGAAAGCTTCTCTAGAATCTCGAGGTAAACTGGATATCCCTATTTGAAATGATTGACAAAGGAACAACGTGGCCAATCACGATCTCATCAACATAAATTCTCGCAAGTTTTTCTAATAGATAAGTCTCTAAAAGCGGTAGAAAGTGCATAAACTTAGTCAAACGATCCACAATCACCCAGATAGCATCATAACCATTTGGAGTTCATGGAAGCTTCATTATGAAATCCATCATTATATTATCTCACTTCCACATTGGAATTTCTAATGATTTCAAATTCCCATAGGTTTGTTGATGTTCTATCTTTACCTGTAGACACGTCAGACACTGTTTTACGTACCGTGCAAATCCTTTTTCAACTTCAACCACCAGTAGAATGGTTTCAAATCTCTATACATCTTATTGGTACCCGGGTGAATTGAATATCAAGACTTGTGACTTTGTCCAATACTATCTCACGGTTGTTGCCAAAATGAGGCACCCGAATTCTACTTTTGAAATATAGAATTCCAAAAAGAAGGCAATTCATTCATAGTAGGATATTGAAACCACAACATAATATATGATTCATGCTCCTTTAGGTTCTTTAAATTCCGTGGGTACCAAATAAATGACTACTTGAATCGGGATTTTGGGCTAGACTGGGTCATTTCTCAGGAACAATAGATATCAGAAATCCGGTGTGGAGTGATGGGAATGAGTACCTATCCCTTACGGGAATCGAACCCGTGAATGAGGGGCTACTTAATGAAAAGAGAAACTTTCCATGTTGCACTAAGTTACTTACGGATGTATGCATGGCTCTCTTCCTACTGCCTCTGTTGCCTAAAGAGGTCAGTCCACCGCGTGTTTGTCTTCCGTTGGAAGGTTCGTCCGGGCCTGGGTCAACCCACCCTCAATTGAGACCAAATTGAACAAATGATATGTCAAGATCATGTTGTTCATTGAACTGGAAAGTCTGTTGGAAGAAGTCCTRTAATAGAAGTAGAGTCTCGTTTCAAGCCTGTAATTTGGGATCCTCATTTTGGTCAACCGGCTGTAGAAGCTTTGATCATTCCTTACTAGGTTTGTTCACATTCCTCCAATTCTTTTGGCCTTTACATTTTTTTAACCATTTCATTCTGACATCTCAGAATCTCATCAAGATTGTTAGGAATCATATTAGCTCGTAATACAATGACTTTGATTGTTCCACTCTTTTCTTTTCAACAAAGTGCATTGACCACTACATTTGCCTTTCCAGGGTTGTGAAGAATCTCGTAATCATAATTGTTCACCAATTCTATTCATCGTTTTTTCCATATATTTAACTATTTCTGATTGAACAGATGTTGAAGACTTTTGTGATCATTAAAAATCTGACATTTAGTTCCCAACAGATAATGTCTTCAAATCTTTAAGGCAAAAACAACTGTTGCAAGCTCTATATCATGAGTAGGGCACTATTTTTCGTGATCTTTCAGTTGTCTGAAAGCATACATAATGACCTTTCCCCATTGCATTAGATGACAACCCAGACCCAACTTTGAAGCATCACTATAAACCTCAATGACCTTTCTGGTAATGCCAGTATTGGCGCACTGCACAATCTGTCTTTCAATAACTGGAAGGATTTTACTTGGACTTCTCCCCACTCATATTTTACATTCTTCCTTATCAATTTCGTCAGTGATGTCGCAATACGATAGAAATCTTGAATAAACTTTCAGTAATACCCAGCTAATCCTAGAAAACTTCGGATCTATGTGGGCGTTCGTGGTATCTCCCATCTTCCAATAGCTTCATTTTTTACTCGATTGACCTTCACACCTGCTTTTGAAACTATGTGACCCAAGAATTGAATTTCTTTAAATCAGAATGATGAAATCAGCTGGAAATATGAACTTGTCAACTTGAACTAAGACATCCCCAATCTTACCTTTTGGATAGGCAATGGTTCTGTTGGCTAATTGCAGTGTGACAGTGGTGGGTCTAGCCTCTTCTATGCCTAAGGTGTTGAAAACAGACAAGGGCACCAGGTTAATACTAGCACCTAAATTACACAAAGCTTTTCCAATCTCCTTTCCACCTATAGAGTAAGGAATAGTGAAACTTCCCGGGTCTTAAAGCTTAGGAGGTATCTTGTTGGTCATAAGTGCACTAATCCTTCAGTAAGAGCTACAGCTTCATATCGGTCAACTTCTTTTTCTTATTTAAGATGTTGAGGAATTTGGCATAACTGGGCATTTTCTCAATTGCTTCAACAAGAGGTATGTTGATATGCAATGCTTTAAACACTTCCAAAAATTTCTTAAATTGCGGTTCTTCCTTTTGATTCCTTAACCTTTAGGGAAAAGAAACATAAAGAGGAACTGTTTTTATGATAGCTTTATTTGACTGTGTTGAGCAAGATGGGTCCAGAATGCCTTGAGTCTTGGTCTTACTTTCTTGAGGTTCAGATGGGGTTACAACTTTGGTCTTAGGATCTGCTATAACATCATCTTCAATTGACTTTTTCCTAGCAACCTTTTCTAGGAATAATAGAGGATAGACCGACTTAGGGGGAACAAAAGTAGGGACCTCAGATGATTGGTTCTTCAAAGGTTTTGGTGGATTTTCACTAACATGGACCACTGGTGTAGTCTCAGGTTTAGACACAACCTGTTCACTTTCCTTTGGTATGATCTCTATTAATTCCTTCCCACTCCTAAGGTCACTACCTTCACATGCTCCTTTCCTAAATCTCTAGGGACTTGTGTGCTACTAGGCAAATTACCAAGGGATATATTGGTTTGACTGAGCGCAAGGTGACTGACTTGAGTTTCTAAATTTCTGATAGCGGCACTTTGTTGATTAAAAAGAGATTGATTTTGGGTCATCAATCCTTTTATCATAGCTTCCAAAAAAGATGATAACTCAGCTTATGGAGGTGGTTTGTTTTGAAAAGATGGTTAAGCAGCTTAAAATTTTTGGTGATGATGATTTTGAGAGTTAGAACTGCTTGCATGTTGTTGAGGTTGAAAATTAGAGGTTCGTTGTTGCTTATGAACGGGTGGATTCAAACTTGGACTGTTTCAAGAAAAATTTGGGTGTTGTTTCCAACAGGCATTGTATGTGTTGGAATAGGGATTTGATCTATTATGAACATAATTGACAAATTCAGAATTATGAGGACAGAGTTCATAAGAATGTTCCCCTCCACAACAGACACATTGCATTGAGAGGACTGTTGGAGCAGGTGTAGTAACGGTTAGATGCACTCCTTGGCCAGAAGTTAGGTTTTTAAGCATATTGGTCATGGAAGTGAGTTGTGTTGTTAATGTAGTATATGCATCTATATCATGAATTCCAATTGTCTTCTTTTACCGTTGGGCATGTGGATCAGCCTAATGTCCATTGTTTGTAGAAATCTTTTCAAGGATTGCATACCCTTCATTGTAGGTACTAGCTGTAAAGTCCCCTCCTCCAGTCACATCTGTTTAGCCATGGGACTAAACTTATTGTAGAATCTCTCGAGTTGAATGCAGTAAGGAATGCCATGGTGAGGACATTTCTTTAACAACTCTTTAAACCTCTCCCATGCATCAGGAACAACTTCATCATCCATTTGTTTAACAAGACATATTTCATTCATGGACTTGGTGTTCCTGGTGGGTGGAAAATATTTTCGTAAAAACTTTTTTGTCGTATTGCTCCATGATGGTACAGAACCTAGTGGAAATGAATTAAACCAAGACTTTGCTCGATCCTGTAAAGAAAATGGAAACAAAGTGAGTCTTAGAGCATCGTTAGACACGACACTCCAGGGATCAAGAAGACATCAGTAATTTTCATGAAAGATTTTAGATGTGAGTGAGGATCTTCCGATGGTAATCTTGCAAATTGTCCATTTGTTTGCAACATATGAAACATGATCGGTTTAAGCTCAAAATGGAGGGCAGTCATGTGAGGTCTAACTATCCCTGAGTTTAATTGCTTAAAATCAGAAATAACGTAGTCCATGATTCTTCCATTTTTAGAGTTCACAAGATTAATTATATTTGGAGTTTGAGCTCTTGGATTATTATTATTTTCAGATTTCATATCATTATGTGCATCTTAATGATTTGGTGGCCCTCGTTGAAAAGGATGTCCTGGTGGGTTTTGAAAAAGTGGTGTATTTGGCAGAAAAGCCTGAAATTATGGTATTTGACCAAATCCTGGTGGATTTTGAATCGGTACTTCTTCGTCAACTCGGAGAGGTAACGCCATATTAGGAAGGAGTAGAGCAGAAAATGCTCTTTGAGCGCTTCTTCTTTAGTGGAATGTTCTCTCAATATCTGGATCGAATTCGAGAAACTCCCCGCGTGTATCTGTGGTATACACCTCTTAAAAGCGGATCAAACGATGTTGGAAAAATCAAATCTTTAAAGTTACTTTCACAAAAACTTTATAGCTTGCCAATCCCCTACAACGGTGCCAAAAACTTGATGAGTGGGTTATTCACACACTCACAGACTTACAACCAGGACCAAAAGCAAGTATACAATTAGTCCCAATATCATCTTTCAAGTAATAAAGTGTTACAAGTATCGTATATCGTCCACATGTATTGTAGTAAAAGTTCAGTAAAAGTAATATTAAGAAAATGATTTTAGAAAGAGAATTTGAAGACTTTGATTTGATCAGAGTTAACGTAACTAGAAATTAACAGAAAATAATAGATAATAACAAAAAGTCAGGGTGTATGACTTAGGGTGAGATGTAAATACTATTTCCAGTAAACCAATGCTATCAAAATGCTGCATCATGAGACCTAGCTGACAGATTGCTACAACATGCTATTAGTAACAACTATTTTCACCATTTATTTTGAAGGTATTCCTCTCGGACTTCACCATTGCCTTGATATTATAGATTTCAACCCATATCTCTATGAGGTATCCAGACCAGTGAAAGTGATAAATGGTGTCCTAAAAATATATGGATAAACAAATCTCTTTGTTAAAAATTACTCGAGTGGATTCCCATATCATTCAAGTTGATGTGTTCTGAATGACTCATCTCTGAATCCATTCCACTTTAACACTTCAAAGTGATCAACCTGTCGAGAATTAACAATTTAGAAAATATGGATAACAAATCTCTTTGTTAGCAACTCTCTCAAGTCTACTTCTCATATCATCCAAATTGACGTGCAATCAATGACTCAGCTTAGAGTACATGACACTTTAACATTTTTTAGTGATCAACTCGTCAAAAAGTGTCATTGGTTTTATAAAACTTGAAATGAAATAATGAAACATTGTTGTTACATAAAAAGGTCTACCTTATTTTGATTTACAAACTCGCTCTTCCCATCTTACAACCGACCTAAGAAATTTAGCTACTCATAATGGAAAGTAAATAACAAGAAATATAAATTGCGGTAAATAAGGACATAAAAATAAATGACGGAAAGTAATGACTGAATATAAGTAACGGGAAATAAAGAGCGGAAAGCGTAATAAATAAATGACATAAGTTAAAGAGCAAGAAAGTGTAATAAATAAATGACGGAAATTAAAGAACGAAAAATAAAAAGCAATTAAATAAAGTTTGGAAGAGAAATTAACCAAAAGTTTACTTGTATTTCTAGAGAGAGAAACTACTAAAAGTAGTGAGATGATGGATTAGAGAATTAAAGAATGATCAAAACACCAACCCCAACCTCTCTATTTCTACTAAAATAGAGGTGATGTCAAAATATTCTTTTAACACTAATCTAGAGTTAAAGTACAACTAAAACAAATATTTAGAGTCTAATGTATCCAACTTAGCCAACAAGTTTCTAGCTAATTACAAATTAAACAACTTTCACTACACAAAATGTCTTTCAAAAGTCAGCTCTGGTTATGTCAATCAGCATCATGTTCTCTCTCCTCTCTTTCTTCACAGTCAAGTCATGCTGCAGTAGTCCCACAACATCAAACAACTTCAATCTGTTCAAAACAAGACCATATTAGCCCATTACATAACAAAAACAGGTAAATCATTTATCTTAGTTTCATAACAAAGAAGTGGAAAATAAAGGAATAAAGTGACTCAAAGTTGGGATATGAATGGAAAATGTTCTAACTAAAGGAGAAGAAAATAGTGTTTAAGCACTAAATAATTAGTGCGTATCAGATGCGATAACTCAAGTCATCACATCATAAGGATGCGACAACAAATTGACATATGATCAAAAATCCTAGTTTTTGCATTCAATTGATTTTGTCATCCTTATAACCATAATACACCTCTCTTGCTTATGTCACCCTTATCCCAAAATACACATCTCCTGATGATGTCACCCTCATCCCATAATACGTCTCTCCTGATTATGCCACTTTTATATCCAAAATACACTTCTCCTGATTATGTCACCCTTATTCTAATTATTTGATATTAACACAATGTTCTTTGATTTTCTTTACCTTCAATGTCGAGATGGAATGGTGGGTTTTTGGTGGGTAAAAACGAAAATTGATAGTGATGCAGAGGTAGTTAGGAAGTGGATTGTAGTGGTAAGAGACGTAGGATAGGTTATGGAATTGGTACGGTTGGAATCCCGGTCACCTGTGGTGGAAGACGCTGGGTAAAAGAGGGGTTTACAGTAGGGATGGCAAAAAAAACCGAAACCGATGGTGAAAACCGAAAATTGGAACTTTCAGGTCAGGTTCAGGGACATCTAATCGGGGATGGGGCGGGGATCAGGGATATATTCGGGGATTTTAACGGGGACGGGGGCGAGGACGGTGATCACCGGCCCGGCCCGATATGTTTATATATTAATTTTAATTTACATACATACATACATACATACATACATACATACATACATACATACATACATACATACATACATACATACATACANCATACATACATACATACATACATACATACATACATACATACATACATACATACATACATACATACATACATACATACATACATACATACATACACACACACAGAGAAATACATACATACATGCATGCATACATACATACATACATACATACATACATACATACATACATACATACATACATACATACATATCATTAAAAAATAGTAACATTAAAATTTAAAAGACTTTTATCAACTTTACCAAAACAACTCAAATATGGCTCACGAAAAAGTCTAATTTATTTGTCTAATCGTGATGTTTGAATTTTTGTCTACTTTTATATTGTAATATAATATATTGTTTGTAATTGGTTCGATTATATTTGAGACATTAAAACTTGCATCTTTACAAAAATTGTAATTTACTTTTAGTTGTGAATTTTTTTAGATCGGTTCGGGTATAACCAACGGTGAATCTAAAAAAGAGAATTTTTACCTATAACGGGTTCCCCAACGGGGATCGGGAAAACCGCGGGGGACTCGATAGGGATCCCCGATGGGGATCGGGACGGTTTTAGTTATCGGTTTCCGGGACAGGGATACGAATAACAGGCCCGAACCAATATAGTTTACATGTATTTATTTTTATTAAAGAAAAGTGGTGTAAAAGTGGAAAAAGACTAAATTACCCTTGACTTAACAAATTCTTCTAACGGTTGTTAGACGGACGGACCAAATCCTATCGTTTCTGCATACCACTGTGATAACCGGGTTTATCGGTAATTAAATTCGGGGTTGTTTTTTAATAAGGATGATAAGTTGAGGGGTTGAATTGATTATGTGCTTAAAAAATATTTTTTATTTACCACCGCCTCATGTGTTTTGTTTATTAAGTTGATGAGATAATTTGTTATCTGACCAGTTTTTTTAAAAACAGAAAGAATTGGGTATGTGTGTGTATTTTGCTCTCTGGTTCGAATCAAAAACAGAAAAATCGAAGAAGAAGAATTTGTCTATGTGTTTATTATCTAAAATTGTTGTTGTTTATCATCTTCATTTACTGTGTTTTATAAGGTGAGTTCTATTTTAAAAACATCATTTATTATGTTTTGGATGAAGAAACCGTATGGTTTCATACGTAAGTATATGATGTTTACATGCTACTGTTAGCACAAATTTTGGGTTTGGCTATGATTTATCCATCTGATGGTCATAAGAGTGGCATAATCAGGAGATGCATATAATTATATAATGAGGGTGGCATAATCAGGAGATGGGTATAAATCTATATATATATATATATATATTAAAGAAGAAACCACATGCAATGATGTGGCCTCTTCTGAAAACAAGAAAATGATTTATCTTTATTCTCCTTTTCTCAAGCTTCTCCTACTTTAATATTTGTTTTTTATGTTTCATATTCACATTTAAGATCCTTTAATTAGGTTGTTTCAATCTATTCATGTTCCCTCTAATAAGTATTCTTTTAACTCTCATTATTTCTCTTTATTTGGTTATAATTTTTCATCTTCTCTTCATGGTACACCTCTATAATAATCTCTCAATTCTTCATCTCAATTCTTCATCTCCATTCATGTATAATTTTGTGGTACATCTCTATGATAACCTCTCTATTAATCTCTGAATTCTTCCTCTCTATTCATGTATAATTTTGTGGTACATCTCTATGATAACCTCTCTATTAATCTTTCAATTCTTCCTCTCTATTCATGTATAATTTTGTGGTACACCTCTATGATAATCTCTCTATTAATCTCT